GAGTTGTTAGCATTCGGTTGGCTCGTGTCCGCTTCTTCCCCGCTGGTTCTTCCGCTGCCCGTTGCGCAGCAGCCTCTCTGTGCTCTGAGTTGGTACTGACCACAGAGTTTCGTTGTTAAACACTCACTGGAAGCAGTTTTTAAGTTAGACTTATACCTTAGTTTCATTAAGCATGTTTCCCCCCCACATTTTTATTCTGTAACATAATCTTCATAAAGCTCTTTCCATCATCCAGACTTGGTCTGCTACTTTCTCTGGAGACACGCTTTGTGCCACATTCTGGTCTGTTGTTTAAGTCATTATGTAATGACTCTGGAATTAGCATCAGAGCAAAACAGCAAAGTTGAGGACACTTGGCACCAAACATAATGTTTAAGATGCATGTAAGTTTGGAAGAGAGAGAGTGAATGATTTCGGAATCTCTAATGATTTCTAATAGAAGTAGCCAATCTGAATCGCCTTCATTTCAGTCACTCTAGACTTTTAAACTGATCAAAAATAAATGCTAGAACCCTGGAGATGTTTGACAATAAGATATGTGTGACAATCTTGTTTTCATTTTGCAGGAATGTGAGAAAGATGAGTTGTTGAGAGAGGCATGAGGGTGAGAGGAAAATGCCCTTAGTGAGATATGTGTATGGATGTGAAAATCACAAGGCATGGGGGTGCTTGGGCTCTCCATAATTCCAGCACATGAAGCTATTAAGGATTGAGTTAGACCCTAGGCCTAAAGGAGGAATAATTAAAACCAAATTTTGAACTATGCTAAGAGGGCAGAGTTGAGTTGCTCTTTGCTGTAGAGAGGTGGCCTCTGGGGGCTCACACTAGGTTGCCATTTTGTGTAAATCATTAACACATGACAATCCCCAAAAGAAAAGGGATTCTTGTACAGCCATGCACAAAACACCCCTCGCAGGATACACATACAGGGGAATGGAAAGTGAAGACGTACTTTCTCCCTGCATCGTCAGGGATTCCCAGAAAACAAGGCCTCTTTTCAGTAGCTCCTCGGTGGCTATTTATAATCCAGAATGCACCGTGGACATTTGGAGGCAGAAGTGACTCAGTCACTGACGGTCCATATTCAGCAACTGGACCTTCGTGAGGAATTTAACCAGAAGGTTTCCCTTGGTGCAGAAGTCCTGATAATGACCTCTCCTCGCAGAAACTCATCACTTTGGGATACACTGTGTGAATGTATTTTTCTTAACATAGGTGCCAAAGACAGGATTAGATCAGTCTGCTTTCTTCTTAATCCTTAAATGAGATCTGATGTGCTAAAGGGTTTGGAATCCTTTAAGAGGTAGCAGCCTTTCTCTTTGCAAGCCCTGTGTCCTCTTCCTGCTTAACCCCACTGTCGCCAGCTGCTCTGGGCAGCAGCTTGCTGCTGTGATGCTCCCCCTCTTGGAGAGCACCACAGGCCACCCCACTTGTTGTTCTCATCTTAGTCCCTTCCCCTGTGGCAGATGGAGGCCCTGGCAGCCTCCCTTGCCACCCCAGGGCCTGACACCACGAAGGAAATGTCTGTTCTGCAAGGTTCCCCTCCCCTTCGCTTCCTGGCAGCCTGAGGTGCAGCCTGGCGTTTGTGTAGGGCCACGGACAGCTGGTGGTCAGGAGCGCAGCTTTGAGGTCAGACAGGCCAGGCATTTGGTCGCTATGGTACTACTCCTACCTGCTCAGGGTGGAGAACATTTCTTTCTTTTAATGTCACCTGTAAAGTGGATGAGTTAACCTCATGTCGCAGATGCTTCAGGCCTATAAATGCTGGGGCTCACAGGCAGGGCTGGGCCGCCGCTCTCTGGGTGATAGGAGCTCCACGGTCTGTCACTAGCTCTCTGCTCATCACCCCAGCTCACCACACACATTCTGCGATCTCACTGAACCCTGCTGTCCAGGACACTTCCCCACATGAGGGAGAAAAGAACTGCCCACAGCCCTAAGGTGACATGCTTCCAAATGCTTAGCTCTAGCCTGTTTCCTGCCAGGCTTCTCAGTAACACCCTCAGGACGGGCCCGTAGCTGGGTCCAGAGGTGCGTCTGTTGTGGATGGGGATCCGGGCTAAGGCAGTACATCCTCCAGAGGGGCGTTGTGCAGTGCTGACTGCGCTGGCGTGCTGTCCTCTCACAAGGGACGGTGCTGTTGACATGTTGCTTCAGGTAAGCTCTCAGAGCAGTAACTGTGCGATGGCTTCTCGGAGGCTCCTGTAACCATGGTTAGATGGGCTCTCAGCGAATTGTTTGCATCACAGGTTTGTCTCAGCCATAATCTGGATTGATGAACCACGGATCATAGGCAGGCGGGAGATGCTGGACTCCTGCTCTTAGGGCAGAGACTTAGATTCAAGAACTCCTCCGAGCCCAAACGGGTGGGAAGTGGTCGACTAAGAGTAAGTTGCCCACCTCTTAGAGCTGCCCGACGTTTCTCCAGCCAGCTGACTGCGCCAGCAGCCTGCTTGCCTTCCCCCACTCTGCGAGGGCGCTCCCCGATGCCCATCCTACCGCAGCCCAGGGTTGACAGGAAAATGGCATATTCTAAACTTGGCAGGGTAGTTCTCTGTCCCCTTGGTCCCTAGCGCAGAGAGCTTTTCCCCTCACCACCAGGCCCCTTAGTTTCCTACTCCAGAGCACCTAACTCTGCCTCTCTGTGCACTGGTTACCCCCTCCCCCACTAGGGGTAACCCTCCTGAGGGCGGGTGCTGACTATTGTCTTCCTGTAGTGTCCCCGGGCTTTTTTTGTTTTTGCTTTCACATATCACATACTCATTGAGAAAAGGAATAACTCAGGTAAGTCAGAAGCTGTAAGAACGTGGCCCCCAAAGCAAATGGTGCACTGTTTCTTCACTTCTCCAGCTCCCTCTTGCTGTGGCTTGCCAGGAGGAGGAGGAAGAGGAAGAGGTCTTGTGTTTGCGCTGTGTGGAGCTCCAAGCCATCTGCAGTCTGACCTCTGCCAGTTAGGTTGAATGTCTGTCCTGGGCCGGGTCTCAGAGCTGCCAGCCCCAGCTGCCCGCTGTCCGGGCCTGTGGAAGGCAGTAGGTCCCTGGCTAAGGGCCTGGACTCGAGTCAAGTGATCACTCTGCCCATCCAGATTGGCTCTCCTTGACAGAGTTTCATAACCTCTGTGCCTCGGTCTCATGTGTATAACGGTGTGGCCTCATCGGATTGTTGCAAGGATTAGACCCGATTATTTATATGAAATCTTTAGATTAGATCAAGTACATGTGGAGTGCTGAATTAAAGCTGCTGGCATTATGGGCAACTCTAAAGGCTGCTACTCTGTGTGTGTCACGTGTCCCTAGGTTGCAAGGTCTGTGCCCTCTGTCCTTCAGCCTGCCCCATGGGGCACAGATCATGGTTGGTGAGGGCCTCTGAGGGAGCTGTGAGTGGAGACCCAGGCGGATTGGGTGAGGGTTCAGTTTCTCACAGTGTCTATCCTGTGCCTGGTCTCAGAGTTGCCAGCCCCAGCCGCCAGCTGTCTCGGGCCTATGGAAGGCAGTGGGCACCCTGGCCAAGGACCCGGACTCGAGTCCAGTGGGCACTCTTCCTCGTCCAGTTTGGTTGCCCATCCAGCTTTGTTCACTGGAGGAGGACACTTCAGTGGGAGATTTGTGTGCACCTGTTTGCTTTACGTTGGCCCTGGTGATCCCCACAGGGAATCTAAGTCGGGGGAGTCCGTGTCACCGCAGGGAACTCGTCTGGTGCTCTTTCTCCCACAAGCAGAGCTCGGCCTGTGGGGAGGGACAGGGGCGGCCTCTGTGATGGGAGGTGCGGGGTCTGAGGCAGAGTCTGGCTTGGCCTGCTCCCAGGGACAGTGCTGGGCCTAGCAGGGCCATGGAATCAGGCTCTGTTCCCTGCAAAGTACAGTGGGCACAGTTCCCAAGCGCCAGCCCCCACAAGACATTATGCTGCGTGCCAGCAAGAGTGCCCCTCAGCTGTGTGCCACGGTTGGGTGAACAGCGACTCAGTAATTCATTTTGGTGAGATGCACCATGTAAGCTGGTGAAATGTGAACTGCCTTCCATGAAAAACAAATCTGGGTGTTCGTGACATAGTAAAACAGTTGCAAAGTTCTTGTTATTGTTATCAAGTATGCTGTGGGCTGAAACAGCTCTAAAAGATTAGGGGGAAAGGTCAGTGATCCAAAAGGTCAGGTCTCCAAGTTTTACAAGTGGCAAGAAAAGAAGTAGGAAATGGGAGAGAACACTTTGTAGCTGTTGACATAGAAAGTAAGCCCGAGTAGCAAGCCGCAGGAGCCAAATGCCCAGCCGCAGCTCAGAATGCTCGGGCTGAGCGTTCTAATATAATTTATGTTAAAAGTATGTATGAACTTGTTATTGGGGAAGAAAGGGGAAACATATCATTATATATGTAGTATTTTTAGGTGAGTTTCCTACTTTAATGGGCTATTCCATCAGCTGACCACTGGCCTGCTGTGTGGCCAGCAGCTTCTACTGCGCCGGCGCGTGATGTGTCTGCTGCGTTTTGTCCCCTCCTGGAGGACGGGCCTGTCAACCCGGTTGCATGAGGCTGGAAACGCGGCCTATATCTAGTCAGTAACGGTGCTAAGGCAACGGCCGAAATACCCTGCGTCTTCGGATTCCACTTCTGTGGCTTTTATGTCAAACGCTCTGCCTTCTGAATGTGGTGCCTTCTGAATTATTGGAACTGTGGTTTCTGGTTTAGCAGGATCACAAAGACAGCCAGGACTGGTGTGAACCCGAGCCCAGATGAGGAGTCTGGGGCACAGGAACCCGACTCCTGGATTGTGGGAACCTCTATGAACCTTGAGGCTTGCTATTTGGATGAAATAGTTTGACTTGAAGGCATCGAGCACCTAGTACAAGCACAGGAACAACCATAGATCCTTCTGACACCTGGTGACATTTGAACTTTGTATAATTTCCCATTTCCAGTATTTTCTGTGCAGATTCATGACTGAAAATATATTGCACTCCTGCAGCTGCCACCCACAACCTAACAGCCTCTGGCTCTTGTTTTCACAGGTGTTGGGGCGATGTTTCTTGACAGTGGTGCAAGTCCACTTCCAGTTTTTGACCCAGGCATTACAGAAGGTCCAGCCAGTTGCTCACTCTTGCTTTGCTGAGGTGGTCGTGCCGGAAAAAAAGAACAGCAATGGTGGCAGCGGCTTAGCTGGCACGGGCCACACACCTGAACTGGAGGAGGCTGTGCGATCCTGGAGGGGGGCTGCTGAGGTAAGCCTGGCTGGGGTGGGGGGCGGGGGGTGTTCATACAGAGGGCCTTCACCCGCTGATGCATAAAGAGCCGTTTCATGGAGAAATTTGAGTTTTAACGTGTTACCGTGAGGGTGCCCGTCATTTTACAGTGGATGTCTTTGTAAATGCCCACTTTGCACCAGGCATGTGTGAGACCAGGGGCCCACAGCCCGTGCTCACATCTCCTGGGAGAAAGGGCTCTCAAAAGCTGAGTCCAGGGCTGTGATGGAGGTGTGTGGGAGCCCCAAGGGGCCCAGCTCCAGTGGGGAGCGCGCAGCAGAGCTGCTGGGAGAGGGCTGAGGAAGACGGGCTGACTGCCCGCGCCGGAGAGACAGGCTGGAGCCAGCGCACACCGTGGTGGCGAGGCAGGCAGTTCGGAGCGCAGACAGTGATGGAACACGTTCCCAGGGGGCATCTTAATACTCCCTTGTCCAGTAAGACTTAATACTCCCTTCCCAGTCAAGACTTGAACTAACTAGCACCAATGTATTGTCCCCTTTTACAGAGTACAAGGTAATTTTCAAGATAAGGAGTAGCCTGTTGGCTTATTATATAATGTCTGGCTTGAACCATTCCATAATTAAATTGCATTTTGTGATTTAGGAATTGGTTTTAATCAAAATTTAAACATGATTTTATTACATTTCACATTGTACATTCTCTAACTTTCTTCCTTCAGTTTTATGGCTGTTTGCTGCATTGTTTTGGGGGGGGGGGGCAGAATTTCCTTTCAGCATCTTTTTCCTGCCCATGTCTTTGTTTTGGTTTCTCTCATGTTAAAGGCTGTCTTCCACTCTGGGGTTCTCGGAGCAGCCCTGAATCACTGCTGTACGGGGAGCGGGCTGTCGGCTTTGTCGCACAGGCGGGCTCCAAACCGTGTTCTTCCTACCCACTGAGCTGGCGTTCAGGCCGCCGCCTGTGCGGCTCCGTCTCCTCAGGCCTGTCGCCATCATGCGCGCGTGGCACCTGCCTCCTGGCCTCCTTTGCCCTTTCGCTCCGCTGCCTGGGCAGCTCTGCCGCCCTCGCTGCTCCCGGCAGCGGCCGCTCTTCATGGCCCCAGCACGGAGTCCTGGCCCCGCGGGCCTTTTCTCTTTCTTGGTTCCAGTGGAGGGGGCACTACGCCTGCGGTCCCAGCCTGCCTGCCTGCAGCCCTCTCCCGTGCTCTCGGCCTCTGGGTCGGGGGACTGTGCTTTCCCACCGTCCTCCTCAGCGTGCCCCTGGCAGCGCAGAGCACTGTGCACCCAGGCCGCCTTCGCCATGGTTCTCTGGGCTTCATAGCCAGCTTTGTGGGAAAGCCGGCCCTCTCACCTTTCGTCCATGCTCAGAAAGGTCGTGAGGCCTGTCAAGCACATCTGGAATGCCCCACGTGCCCGCCTGTCTCCTTTCAGTTTTGGCAAGTGAACCTTAACATTTTGCTACATTTGCTTCATGCCTTGTATTGCTGAGAGGAGAAACACTACCAATGCAGTTGCGTCGCCTCGGAACCTCTCCACTCTCGCACCCTTCCTCTCAGCGATGACCTCCTGAATTGGAGTTTGTGGCTTCTGTGCCGATGAGTGTTTTTGTCTTCACCCGATAGCTGGGATCTGTGGATAGCACAGTGTATTGTTTCGCACAGTATGAAGCTTTGTATAATGACAGCATCCAGTTCACTGCTCCCTTCCTACACAAGAGCGTGCCTTCACTTGTCAGGGTCACTGCTGCTAAATCCAGGAACCCCTCTGCCACCATGCAGCACTCATAGCGGGGCTCTGAAACACTCCTCCCGGGCGTGCCGAGCCAGGTTTCCTTGGCGGCCCGCTCCCTGGGCCATCATCCTGTTCCTTGGACATTGCCTGCTCTTCAGCCCAGCTTAGGAATGTGTGGTTCTCAGACTCAGTTCCAGCTGCCCTTTTCCCAAGGGGGTCTCTCTGTCATCTTGGGACTTTAAAACCAGCCATGTGCTGGGCCTGAATACATGTAGCCCATCCTCTTCGGCGGGCACGCCCCAGTTTCAGCCCCTGCTGCCCTTGGGGCTCTGGGGGCTCAGGCTTAGCTTTACCTCACACATCCACTTCACCCCATATCTTCCCCCTGAGGGCAAGTGGGCCCGTCCCGCAGCGGTCAGATTCATCCTCCGTTTTTCATCATGCCGGTATCCGGCCCTAAGAGCCTGCAGAGGCCCCACTCCCAGTGCCCCGGTCTGTCCCTCTGTGCCCAGGCCCACGCCCACTACCCTACCTCCGGCAGTTAGGACTTGCACAGTGGTAGCGCCTGGGGGTCCTCACTCCCTGTCCTGGCGGCCTCCTCTCTCAGGTGGAAGCACTGAGGCTGCTCCCCACTTCCTTGGAAAGAGGGCCCTACTCCATGACCGGCTGGTCCTGTCAGTCTGGCTCCTGCCACGCTCACCGGCCTCCTCCGCCCTCGCGCCCCACTTGCTGGGCTCTGGCTGCTTTGCTGGTGTGTCTGCCTCCCCCACCTGCACTTCCTTCGCCTGCCTGCCTCCCGCCTTCCCCTCTCAGCCCAATGCCATTTCTCAGTGCCCAGCTTCGTCCTCTTAGGGCGCTCTGCTCACCTTCTTTTCTCCACCTTCAGTTCTGTTGCACTCATTTGCTTTTTCTGCCCACAAAACTGGTTTCCATTCTGCTTGTCTCTGCAGCGGCATCTTTTACCCACCGGTCCCTGTTTACGTTGCAGGCAACCTCTCGACTAAGAGAGCGAGGCTGTGATGGCTGCCTGGCAGGAATTGAGGTTCAGCAGCTCTTCTGTTCTCAAAGTGCAGCAATTCCTGAGCACCAGCTAAAGGAACTCAATGTAAAAATTGACAGTGCTTTGCAAGTAAGTTCCTCAAGATGGGCACATTGAAGTGAGTTCAAGATGCGATGCTAAAGCAGTTGGAGTAAGTCATAAAATAGTAGATGGCCTCAAGTCTTGTGTCTGCTTGAGAAAATTTAAATTTCTGTTCTCATTAGACTTTGTCATTTATAATCTGCTACACGGTCTTGACTCTTAAAAACAATCTCTTTGCAGGCATATAAGATAGCTCTGGAAAGCCTGGGCCACTGTGAGTATGCGATGAAAGCTGGCTTCCACCTGAACCCAAAGGCTATTGAAGCAAGTCTGCAGGTGTGCTCTCCTCTCTGGGCGTTCTTGGGGGCTCTTGTGGCCACCCGCCACGTCAAGGGAGCCAGGTCCTGACAGACAGGCTGCGTCACCCTCCTCTCCCTTCCCAACCCTCCCAGGGCTGCTGCAGCGAGGCGGAAGCACAGCAGACGGGGCGGAGGCAGACGCCGCCACAGCCCATGCAGTGCGAGCTGCCCACTGTCCCGGTGCAGATCGGACCACACTTCCTGAAGGGGGTTTCCTTCAACGAGTCGGCCGCTGACAACCTGAAGCTTAAGACGGTAGCTTCCGTGGGGTTCCAGCATGCTGGGTGTGAGCTTGAAAATACAGTTCTTAAGGCCCTAGATTGAAAATCCAAAGTCAAGGCAGGAGGTGTTGACCGTGCTGCCTCAGTAAGCTGGTGTGTAAAGGCAGGTATGGTGACTTTTAATGAGACATTTGCCAAGCTAGTTTCAGTCAGAGGTTTACCATAAAGGCTTTGACACTGTTGGCGATTCACGTTCTGTGGACTCTCATGAACGAAGTGAGAGCAGCCTTGTCCCCATGGCCTAGTGGCCTTGTGCAGGCCTCGTGGCTGCCAGGCACAGGTAGAGCGCTTCACAGGCGGTCTTGTTTAACCCTCAGCCGGGAGGGGTATGCCCTACCTGCCCACATCACAGATGAGAGCACCGAAGCCCAGTGTCAGCTAGCTAGAAAGTAGCACAGCTGGGAATTGAGCTGGTACAGTCAGTTTCCAGAGCCTGCAGGCCTGACCACTTGGTCAGCCAAATAAAGCTGAGGTGTTGTTTCCTTACTTGGGAGGAATTCAGAATTTCGAAATTCCTCTCCCAGTTTGTATCAGTAGCTTGCGAAATAGTGCTGTTTTGTGCTAGTGTTTATTAACGTGTGAACATCCCTACCTGGCCAGTCATGCTACAGGGTTGAAAATCTTGGCAGGTGTCTGATGGTCATTACCTGAGAAATTAAATGACGTGATTTAAGAGCACATAAGCAAAACACTCCCTTCTCGATGGCTGTTGTGCACCTGTGATGCCCTCCTCCCGATGGCAGGGCTTGTTCTTGAGGCGTGAACTCTTGTCCATTGGCAGCACACGATGTTGCAGCTGATCAAGGAGGCAGGCTGCTACAATGGACTCACACCCAGGGACGACTCTCCTGTGACTGAAGTCCTGAACCAGGTGTGCCCCTCCACGTGGCGGGGGGCCTGCAAGACTGCGGTGCAGCTGCTGTTTGGCCAGGCCGGGCTGGTGAGTGGCGTGTGTGGCCGGTGGGAAGAGGCGAGAGAGACACGGCCAGCCCGTGAGGCCGCTGCAGCACGTACATGCCTGAGAGTACTGAAAATTTGAAAACATTCCTTGGTGCCTCTGACTTTAGAGCAGGCAGAAAAGCTAAAGGAAGAGCTAAAGCTCTTATTTTCTCTTTTAGATTGCAAAATGCCATTGCAGGCTTTCTTCACTTTAAGGGAACCATTATGGTGTGATGACTCTGACTACCCTGAGCTACACCAGTGTCTTTTTGTTGCTAAAAGACACCAGACTACTTCCTGCCACACTTTGCACTTGGTGCTCCTTTGACTTGAGAAAACTCTTCTCTGATGTTCATATGACTTACTTATTCTCATCTTCCTGACCATCAGCTCAGCTAGTGCCTCCTTTGAAGAACCTGTGGTATAGGAGTCTTTTTTTTTTTAAGATTTATTTATTTGTGCATACAGAACTGGGGTACAGGCCAGAGGCTCAGGGGTGGTGAGAAGCTTCACCAGAAACAGAGTGGGGAACAGAACAGGCAGATGGACGAAGTACACTGCTGAGGGGAGCAGTAGGCAGGTCAGGAGAGGTCTGCCACGCCATGTGGATCTCCTCCAGGGCAGGCAGGAATCGAACTCACGCAGAAGTGGCTTTAGATTCTCAGTGCTGTGCTTTAACCCGCTGCGCCACCAGGGAGGGTCAGGAGTCATTTTTCATCTCAGTTCTGTTTACCTTCTGTCTGTTATGTGTTTTTCAGGGTTTTTGTTTTCTTTAGGATTTATTTATTTATGCACACAAGAACTGGGATACAGGCTGGAGGTGCAGGGGTGGTGAGAGGATTCACCAGAGACAGTGGGGAGCAGAACAGGCAGATGTACTGAAAAACACTGCTGAGGGGAGCAGTGGGTGGGTCAGCAGAAGTCTGCTGGGCCATGTGGAGCGCCTCCTGTCTGGGGATCAAACTCGTGCTGCAGCGGTGGCTGTGGCTAGTTTGCAGGGCTGACTTAACCCCTAGTGCCAGCAGGGAGACCCAAGATTGGGTTTTTCTGCCTTAGAAGTTAGGAAGGTGAGAGGGTCAGGAGGTCAGCCTCTGAAACCTCTGCTTAGCTTTTTATTGATACTGTTAAACCCAAATAACCTTATATGCTTGATCCACTTTCTAGAATTAAATGACTACTTTAAAAAAAAAAAAAAGCTTTTCAATCAGATTCAGAGACTAGAGATAAAGAAAATTAAAGAACTATTTCTTTATCTGGTTCTAAGTTGAAAGGAATTGTTGGGGTCCTCCTTGGTGGTCTAGGGGTTAAGTGTCAGCGCTCTCACAGCTTTGGCCTGAGTTCAGTCCCCAGCCAGGGAGCTGACCCACATGGCACAGCAGACCTCGCCTACCTTGCCCGCTGCTCCCCTCAACAGTGGATTTCAGTGCTCCTCACTCTGTCTCTGGTGAGTCCTCTCACCCCCACACCCCTGGGGGTACCTACACACACAGAAAAAAAGAGCTGTTGGGCGGATGTTGTCCTCTGGGCTCAGGTGGCCCAGCTCAGGGCTGTGCTACCTGAGCAGAGCAGGAGAGGGCGGTGAGGGTCTGTCCACACCAACGAGCTACAGTTCCTTGGGACCTGTTCCTTAGTGCGGAACCTCTAAGGGAAGGTGTAAACTGAGGCCCTCTGCTGAAGTAGGAAATGCTTACACCTTTAAGACTTTGATTCGTGTTGCCAGTAGTCACCTTGGGTGAAACTGGAAGAACCAAAGAAACAAACTCCCCAGAAGAGTGTAAATTAGGGCAGAAGGACACACAGGCTATTTTGTCGAAACAGCATGGGTTAAAAAAATGAAATCCCCGATTACTCAGAAAGCAGAGGCTTTTTCCTTGTCCCTACCTCTTGCTCCTAGGGTACCTTTGTGTGTGAGTGACAAAGAGCCTTTAGATCATGGCTCTGGCCATGTGAGGAAACACCTGCCTGGTTCAACAATGACTAGTTCTGGGACAGGAAGTCTTTCCCGGGGACACTGCAGACCAGCTGTGGGAACTGTTCACAACAATGGGAATCGGAGCCACTGGAGACTTGAGTTTGGAATCATAATAAGCACCTCTGCGTGGCTTTACTCTTGAACTGTTACTGATTTGGCTCTCTGATTGTTTTCTTAAGATTCTTTTAATTATTAAAAAATACACTGGTCACTTTGTTAGGCTCTTTGGGTTATGTAGGGTACATATCACTCATAGAAAACTAGACTCCTCTGAATAAGATGAAATCTTTGAAAGAAGTATTGATTCTTCTTCTGAAACCATTCTATTTTTATTGATGGTTACAGATAAGATGATCTTTTTTAAAAAAAGCTTTATTCACTGTTGGCATGTATTTAGTCATTACAAGTAGACCTTTCTGAAGCATTGGTTTATTTTTTTTTAAAGATTTTATTTATTTTTACATAGAAGAGCTGGGGTATAGGCCAGAGAAGAGGTGGATGAAAGGATTCACCAGATCTACTGAAATACACTGCTGAGGGGAGAAGCGGGCAGAAAGGAAAGGTCTGCTGCACCTTGTGGGTCGCCTCTCTGTGCCACCTGGGAGGGCCCCCTGGTTTAACTTTGAATGACAGTTTTACTTCTTTCAAGTGCATTGTGTAGAAAATACTAAGATTAAGGAAATAAAGTATTTCCTGATTAACATGTATAGTTAGAAAAATGGTGCGTGTAAAGTTCATACATCTCAAACCCAGAATTTGGTTTCTGTCTATGGAAGGACACCGTATTCAACCATCGTTATTCCTGTTGTCTACCTGGGGCTGCAACTGGCCTGCCTGCCTTACAGGGCGGGGCGGGGCCGGGCGGGGCTCGGTGGGGCTCTTTCCCCAGGCACTCAGCGGCAGTGTGCTGCCTCTTGGATTTGCTTGTGATCAATTTCCTCTCTGCAAGCTGATTCTTGTTTTTGTTTTTCTCTTAGGTGGTAGTTGACACAGCTCAGATTGAAAACAAAGAGGCTTACGCCCCCCAAATCAGCTTAGAAGGCTCCAGAATCGTGGTTCAAGTCCCTTCCACATGGTATGAGATGCTTCCTTTAAGGCACATCTACCTTCTCTTCAACGTTGGTACAGCTCTGAGGAGATTGCTTTATTTTGTCATGTCCCATGCTGGTGGGCACAGTGGGCCCTGCTGCTTTTGTGGGCTGACCAGCTAGTAGTGTGTGCGGCTGCTTTAGGTAGCGAGATCACTGTGAGGCAGAAGCCGAGATGACCGTGGAGTAGCTTCATTGCCCAGTAAAGTCGCTAAACATCACATACTCATGGCTCACAAGAGGCAGCATTGTGCTTTCTTTGTTACTGAGTCCACAAATTTGAGTTCATCGCTTTCTCTGAATCTCCCGATGTTGCCCCCAAATTGAGTACAGGACATAGAGCTCCTCTTCACCCTGAGCCTGTTCCAGCAACCAGCTGTGGGTCTTGTGCTTACGTCATTGCACACCAAGTGTGTGATACATGTCAGTCTGGGGACATTTTTATTTTTAATTATTTAAACAAAAATGCACACAGAAGTTGTTGAATAGATCATACAGCCTTTCTAGAGGGCAGTTTAGTCTCTCACAAACCAAAAATTAGGGATAAGACCTCAGCACTTTCATAATTTAATTTTCAGGGATTTATCCTTGTGGTATAGACGGAGATTCAACTAAAAGTAAAAAGCACCATAGCTGTACTCATAAAAAGCAAATTTTAATCATTGCAATTATTTAGTGCATTTTGCTGTTAAAATTATAATCTGAATGAGTATTTAACTATATAGAAACCAGTTTGACTCTTTAAGTGGAAAGATAGAGATAGTAAGGAACACTGGCCTTGTTGGTGCCTGTGTGGTCTGAAATGTTGGCCGGGTTACGCATTCAAATTGGGTTTAAATCACTTCTCCTTGAAATGCAAGAGCCGGTTGTAGAGTTCACCAGACGTTTTAGAATTACAGTAAAGGTTCACAGTTCTCCCTTCATGTCCCCAAACCTCCCATAATGAGTTCCCGCCACCACCAAAAGTTCCATCTCACGGTTGCGGGGGTATACTGGTCCCTGACGTGAATGCTGACTTTCATTCATGCCTTTATTCCTCTCAAGTAACAAAAGCTTAAGAATTTTGTGTTCCTGAAGGCTTACTTTGTTTTTCAGTTCAAGTTCTTATTGAAAAGTACTAAACTTAAGCAGGATTCTCATTTTGAAGAAAATCATTTGAACTTTTGGATAACCGAGTGGCCAGAAACAGCTAGTCCTGAAAAGGTTGGCTGCTGTTGCCATCCTCCTAGTGACGGGGCCTCCCTGGGAGACTGTAGACGTGCCTGTTGGAGAGCTCCCTCTGCTGGTTGTTTTTGTAAAATACAAAGTTCTCATTTTTGCAAATTACAAAATAGGTGTGTTTGGTAGTTCAAATAGAAATGATTCCTTTTCCACCTTTGGAAAAATTAAATGGGTACTGAAGCCAGTCATGAATTTATGATATATTTCTCTTGTAGTGAAATGAGTGCCTACCTGCCAGATTTTTTTCTAAACAAATACTTAGATTTGTAAACTGCCCTATTTAGGGAATTTAGCTATCCTTCTATCAGCAAGTCCTTACTGAATGCCGACTGTGTGACAAGCACCACTTGGGCCCTGGGGACCTAATCAGGGGTCAAACAGACCCCTGATGACTGTAATAGTGAGGAGGAGGAGGAGGAGAAGGAAGAGACAGCTAATAAGACTGCTTAAAACAATCAGTTTAGAAATCACCAGTGAAGTCCAAACACCGGCAAGTGTATGAGGGGAATAAGAGTAGGTTGACATGTGATAGAGACTAGCTGGGCAGAGGTGGGAAGAGAGGCTATTTTGGATAAGGAGGTCAGTCATGAAGGCCTCTTTAAGGCTGTGACATTTGATTTGAGAGGAACTGGCATGTAGAGAGAACATGGGGCAAACATTCACGACAGAAGGAACAGCAGATGCAAAGGAGTGAGCCCACGTGGCTGCAAGTGTGGTGGGAGGTGACAAAGCAGGGGTCAGGGCAGCCAGGACTTGCGGGGTCTGCGGGACCTGGATTTATGTAAAGAACAGCCAGCGGAAGGCCTACAGACAGGTTTGGTGATTTGGTGAAAGGATGGGTTTAATACGTCACAGGAATTTTATTTATTGATCAAGACTGATGAGTAAAATAAAAATGCCACTTTGTAGAAAATAAAATTACCACCGCCAGGAATATAGCAGTACTTTCTGCATGAGCAACAAGTGATCCCCCTGCGGGCAAACGTGTGACCAGCCAGATCATAACCGGAAGTTGGCGTGGGAGAGGAGAGCAAATGTGCCCTGCTCTTCAGAGATTCCAGCCCAAGGAGTCTGGCCCACGGACCTTGACCTGTTCTTTGGTCAGATTCTCTCCCAGGGGCCCAGGCTGCCTGGGCCCTGCCAGAGTCTGCCTTGTTGCTTGTCTTCCCGGTGTTTCTGAAGCTGCTGCGCCCACACCCTCACAGATTCGTGTCTTTCCTTCCAACATCACGTTGGGGCTGCTGCTGCCTCCTTAGGGAGGCTTCCCAAGTGATTGCACCACTAACTCCCAGAGAACCAGCATCTTCATGGTTCTCCCTCTCAGGAAAGGAGGTCCCTTAATGGACCGTGGGCACCAAATGGGGAGAAGCAGCTCTTGGGGAGAGGAGTCCAGGCAAAGGCAACAACATGGACACAGGTCCTGAGAGTGGGGAAACCCAGCATACTCAGGGAGCGGGAGAAAGCCTCAGAGCTCGGACCAGGTGAGTGGTGATGCCAGTGCAGGGAGCTGTGCCAGAGAGACAGGCAGCGCCAGGGCACAGAGGGCCTGCCGGGCTGTGAAGGGCTTAGGTTTTGTTTCGGCAATGACAGGTGCCCCTGGGGGGCTTTAAAGAGAGGAGTGAAGTATTCTGAGTCATGCACTGGCAGCTCGTTCTGGCCACTGTGTGGAAGAGGGGACTTAGAACGTAAGTGTGGAAAAAGGGAGGTTGGCCCGAGACGCAGAGGGTGAGCTTTGTGGACTACAGCAGTAGTGAGAGGTGGGAGGAAGCACATGGATTCTGCATATGTTTGGAAGAAGAGCTGTTAGGATTTACTGATGGACTGATGTAGGCTATGAGGGAGCCAGAGATGGCTGGGAGGGTTGGGTGTTGTTTACCTAGAAGGAAATTTGTAGAAATCACAGGGGTTTTTGGCAGGGGGAGAGGCGTTAAGAGCTGTGCTGACCAGGTGACCTCTGAGCTGCCTGCTAGGTGTGCAAAGAATGAGGCCAAGGTGGAGAAGTGCAGTTAGAGCAGTGATGGGGTCAGGAGGCAGTTGAGGCTGGTGAAGGAGGGCCAAGCCTTGCGTGGAGAGGTAGTCTGTCAGCACAGGGCCAGGCATGGTGCTCTGGAACAGGGCGCAGGCCGAGACCGTGAGGGGCAGCAGGAGTCGCATTGCAGCCTAGAAAATGGAGCAAGTGTGTGGGGTCACTGAAGCTTCTGGGGACAGTGACCAGCAGGACGGGAACATTGCACAGGGGCACTGAGAAATTGGGTAGGGCGGAGACAGGTCACTGACACTTGACTTTGGCAAGATCAGTGTTTGATCAGAGCTATTTTAGTGGCTTTCTGGGCATGAAAGCCTGGTCAGAGTTAAGGATGAGGAGGAGACAGTTTTATGCTAACCTGGGGGTAAGAGACAAAGGCAGTATGTGGAGCAGTGTGGGCTGGCAGATGGTGTGCTGAGGAGAACGTCACGGGAGAAATGGGGTGATGGCGTGAGCTGGGAAGGCGGGCGGTACTTAGCACCCAGTGTGCAGCTGGAGGGTCGGCCTGAGGCAGGCGGGCGCGTGTCCACCTCGACGGGGGCACAGGCACAGGCTCCGTGCAGTGGTGGCGGGGAAACCAAGTGGATCGCCTCTGCTTCCACATTTTCTCCACTAGGGAGACTCGGGGTGAGGAGAGGGGAGAGGGCAGCAGCATGAGGGAGAGGCAGAACGGGGTGGGCAGTTGCCTGGCAGAGGCCATGTGTGCTGCTTGCCTGAAATTCATGGGCAGTGCAGGTGGTAGACTGAGGGTGTCCCCTCCCTTGGCACTAGGCCTCCCAGTTCCTGAATTCAGGTGCGCAGTGCTGAGGCAGAAGGGAGGCGCAGAAAGTGTGGAAAGCCTTTGCCAGGGAAGAGTGCCAGTGGACGTCAGCAGGGTAGAGAGGAAAGCCAGGACTGGAGCAGGTGCTGACTGTCAGAGGGAACGGGGGTCCTTCAGGGGATCCCCTTCCTCTGGACTACAAGGTTAGGGACCCACAGAGACTCAGGCCCTTTCTCTACTTGTTCTTAGTTACTGAGTTCCCACCGGGTGCCAAAGGTTTATAAAAGTCGTAGTCTTTTGTATAAAACCTGCTTGAAACACCTTTAATGCGGCCGGGTTCATGCCTAGGTGCCTGAAAGAAGACCCCGCTACCATGTCCCTGCTGCAGAGAAGCCTGGACCCTGAGAAGACCCTGGGCCTGGTGGACGTGCTCTACACGGCCGTGCTGGACCTCAGCCGCTGGCGGGCAGGGAGGTCGGTGTCCCCGCTGGTCCCGGGAGTTGGCTGCGCCAGGGGTTGCCACTCGGCGTCACACCCAGGGACAGTGCCTCCGCACAAGATGTCACGTGCGCTCACATCTCATAGTGAGACAGGAAGAGCAAGAACTTTCTAATTTGGAATAAGTTCAAACATTCAGAGAAGTTACAAGAGCGATACAGAAAATTGTTCTGTGGTCGTTACTCGGTTAAGTTTTGCCTGTTTTATCATTTCAGAGTAAGTCCCATCAAAAGGACTTTAGCCCAACTTACATTCTGCTTATGAACTATGAGCAGAGAAACATTTAGAAAGCGTACTTTTATCCTGTGTGAGACCTACTGACATCTGAAAATAGCTGTTGCAAGATTATCTCTTTATGAATTGTTAACTTCCTTAAACATCTAGCCATGTCCCTTCCCCCACTGCGTAACTGACAAGCCCCAGACAGCTAAGTGACTTATCGAGGGTCACACCAGCGCTCACCTGCCCCAGCTCCTGCCCCATGTCCTTTCTCTCTCTAGAACTCTCCTTCATGACTGGAAAAATGGTGCTCAGAAAACTTGGGAAGCAGCTGCCTTTTCGTGGCACCTTCTGTGAATAGCTTCCGCAACACCAGCGCTGCAGGGCAGCCCTGGCCCTGCCCACGCACTGCTCTCTGCTTTGGCTTTGCCCTTTGCCCCCTGCGGCATCGGCTGGCTGAGGCCCCAGCCCAGGCGCAATGCTGGCCTCCGCGATTGCATCCCCCACAGGAGTCCTGCTTTGCTCTGGGCTGCACAAACTCTTTAGACCAGACTCTTGATGTAGTTTTCACAGCTCTGGGTTACATGATACAGATTTCTTTATAATAAATCTAGCGAGTAAAAGAGAAGTCACATATACTCAGAACTCTTAGGTGTTTACTCATTTAACTGTAAAACAAATGAACCTGATGTTAACCAGGGAGATGTTTTTGTTAATTTTTTCTTAAATACAGAGAACTCTCATTGTTTAATATGTATGTTCTCTCCTTTGCTTTTTTAAAATACTTTTCTGTTTAAATAGGGAGCAAGCTTTGCCCTGCATACAAATCCAGCTTCAGCGGGAGATCTGTGATTTTGGGAATCAGGCTGACCTGCCTTCTGGAAATGGAAACAAATCTTCGGGGGGGCTGCAGAAGACATTCTCCAAACTGACATCCCGGTTCACCAAGAAAGTATCGTGTACCTCCTCTAGCACCAGCACAAGTTATTCCATCCCAAGTACCCCTTCCAAAAACATCTTCATTGCTGGGTGTTCTGAAGAAAAGGCCAAGATGGCTGGTAATATCGATACGAGGCTACAGAGCATTTTGAACATTGGTAATTTCCCTCGGACTCCGGACCCTTCGCAGTCAGCTCAGAATTCCAGTCATCAGATGGCCAACGGTTTCCTCCTGGAGAGGCGTGAGAACTTCCTGCAAGGGGACGATGGCAAGGGTGAGAAGGGCATGAACTTACCCACAGATCAGGAGATGCAGGAGGTGATTGATTTTCTCTCTGGCTTTAACATGGGCCAGTCACATCAGGGCTCCCCATTAGTGACAAGGCGTAATTCTGCTGCCACAGCCCTGGTGCCTGAGCCGAAGGCAGGGGGCATGCAGTCACAGCAGCCACCACTGCCAGTGCCCCCTCCGCCACGGCCACCCCAGGCTGGGACACACACCCCTCTGCCGCCCCAGCCGGGACTGGCACCTCCGCAGCAGTCCCCCAAGCAACAGCAACCCCAGGTCCAGTACTACCAACACCTGCTCCAACCCATTGGACCGCAGCAGCCCCCGGCACAGCCTCGGGCCCCCGGGAAATGGGGCCACGGCTCGTCCCAGCAGCCAGCACAGCCCGTCGGAGCGGGTCTGTCTCCTCTCGGCCAGTGGCCTGGCATATCTGATCTCAGTTCTGACTTGTACAGCTTGGGGCTGGTGAGCAGCTACATGGATAATGTGATGTCAGAGGTTTTGGGCCAGAAGCCGCAAGGACCTAGAAACAACACGTGGCCAAACCGTGACCAAAACGATGGCGTCTTTGGAATGTTGGGAGAGATTCTGCCTTTTGACCCTGCAGGTATGTGAGTCTCCCCCCGCACTTTGGAGTTTTTAATAGAAACGACATCTCTCAGTACTGCACAGGCCTGTATACTAACGCCTTGTTTCTGGGGAGAATGGTTAACCCCCTTTTAGAGACCCCCTCTCACTGCCTGGAGGCAAGAATGGGGCAGATCCAGCGGAGGCAGGAAGTAGTGGGAGAGACTGAGAAGGTAAATGTAACTGTATTCCCTCAACTTACAGAGCACAGGACTGAGGCCGGAAGATGTCACTTGGGTGACTGAAAGTCCCATGCGTCAAGCAGGCTCCAGTCCTCCGATCTGGGCCGCCCCGTTCCCAGAGCCAAGGCGACTACCCCTTCATGGGGCTTCGTTTGCTGATTACATAAACCTGTCTTGTGATTCTTTTCCCTGAACTCTAGAACCCCTGCAAGGCGGTAGCCTGCCTTCTGCTTTCTTCAAACACAGTTTCCCCTGGCCTAAGCAGTGTGAAATACCACCTGCATTACTGCCAAACTACAAATTAATTTCTGATAATACATAGTGTATATAATACACACGCGTGTGCATACACAGCCCTCTGTGTTGTCTATAATCCCTGAGGAAGAATTCATTAGGGATAAAAAGAAGGGCCTTTGGAAGACCAGTAAATAGCTAAACCAATTTGTTGTAAGCCTGATTAAAGAGAAAGCAAAGAAAAACAAGATTAGAAATGGAGCAAGAGGAAAGAAGTCAGAGTGCTCCCTGTAACTTGCTGACAGCGTGCCTGCAAACGGAGTGGAAAATGCCTTTTCTCATGGTAACTGGCACCAAGAAGTAGGAAACCTGCATCACTCAGTTGCAGTAGAAACAACTGGGAAGGTAATTATGAAGTCAACATAATTTGACCATAAAAACTTTGTTACTAGAGAGGCAAGTTATAGTGCCTCTCATTGTGATACATGTAAGAAAAGCTAGGAGTGTATGGAAAGAGAGGCGTCTGTTAGTAAACCTGGTGCTTCAGGGTGTGTGAGAACCTCTGCTCCTGTACAGGGGCCTTTGGTGAGAAAAACTCTAAAGGAATAGATAATGTAAAGGCATGTGATAAAAGATACCAGCTGCTTAAAAGTAAATAAAGCCTCCAGAGTAAAACTTGAATAAGATCACCTGTCAGCAGCCAGTAGCAGGTAGTACCTTGTTGGGTGAAACAATCATTCCAGCTGAAATCAAGACCCGAAGAGGCAGCAACAGTTACCACCAATAGCTACCACCAATAGCCCGCAACTTTGGCTGCACTTTGTGGCAAATACTAGCAAACAAAAAACCAAGTAGATTAAAAAGCATCTCTCTGCTGGTATTAGAATTGAAATAAAAACAACACCCCTTAGTCCAAACCGGTGAGAGTTAATAAGTCTGGCGAAGTGGGTACCTACATACATAGATACATAGAAAGCAAGTACTTTTTTCTCTAATATAGCAATAAGGATACAGAAGTAGAAAATCCCTCTCATTTACAGGGGAAGCCCTGTGGAATATTGTATCAGTAAGTGTACCACCTACTTTTATAAGTAACTGAGAGAGGCAATTCCCTGCTAAAATACCCCACCACCATTAAATGTTTTCCTAGGTCTTCTGAAAATCCTTCACATTGCTGCTCACGCTCGCTAGCTCCTGCTGCCCTTGCGCGGTCGATGAGGGGGCCGCGGGCCCAGGGCCCAGGGGGCAGACCTCTCCGCCCTGCTCCGGAAGAGCAAGCCCGCCCACGAGAGAGGGGTGGCATTTTCTTGGGACACACCTTCTCTCCTCAGCAGCTTGTCCACTTTGGGAACAGTCATGTGATTGCGTTGAGTTGGGCAGAAATTTACCATCTTTGATTTCTTTGGAGACCTGGGCAACCTTTATGTCTTTCATCTACTGATCCCACTAGATCTTCTGCTGAGTGTTTCTTTCTGACTTTTGAACACTTGACGTACCATCCCGAGGGCATCAGCTCTGCATAGCCTGTGGCACAAATTCAGGACAGGGACTCCTCTGGACAAAGCACCTTCTTGGGTGGAGGGGCGGCAGCAGTTAGAAGAGAGCACCCCTCTGCACATGGGGCCCTGTGGCAGCACCCCGAGAACAAACTAATGGGCTTGTGCCCGAATCTTCCCTGATTCAAAGCAGAAAACACACTGCGGCCATGTTCCTCGAGTGACCCAGATCCGCCCCTGCCGTGTCTGTCTGACTTTCTCTGCGCACTGTCTGTGCCTTTCCGCCTCTTGTTCTGCCCTGACGTCCTTAGCTCTGTCCCATGTGTCCCCAGCCGTGCATTCTGACACTTCATCTTGTCCTTTGATACTCTGTCTTCAGACTGAATGAACAGGAAAATCCTGCACCAGAGCTGAGGGCACCCAAGTGGGGATGGCATATATTCCCCGTCTGGCCAACCCATACGCTGCCATGTAACTTTCAGGTTAGCATTTGGCTGAAGTGTCATCTGATTTTCTGTTTTTAAGTACAAAGCAGTAGACATTGGAAATCTTTTAAGTAACTAATATTTTCCTTTAAATTTTCATCACCTCTCGTTTTCTCTTTCACATTCAGGGGGCCTCCTGCTAGGTATAACCCTCGCTGACCCTCTGCGCACACACGCCCCTCCTCCAGAGCGGGGTGCCCAAAGCACCCCCCCCTCCCTGTAGCTGACGGCGGGGCACGTCTTGCGGCCAGCCCTGGGCTCCGGCCTGGCAGCCCTCGCCACCGTCCATACTGTGGGGAAGGACAGAAGAGGCCAGCTTGACCCCAGCCCCTCTTTGTCCCTTTGTCTTAACAGTGGGATCAGACCCAGAGTTTGCACGCTACGTGGCGGGCGTGAGCCAGGCAATGCAGCAGAAACGGCACGTCCCACACGGGCGCCGCCCAGGCAACCCCCGGGGCAACTGGCCTCCCATGGACGACGCGCATCGCACCTGGCCTTTCCCAGAGTTCTTCTCAGAAGGGTGAGTGCTGGCGTGGCAGCGCCGAATCTGGGGCCTGGGGCTCCCCCATGGCCTTTGTCAGTCATACTGGGCACTTGAGTTTGCCCTGGTAAGAGGGGTCACTGGACATGTCAGCTCTTCAGGGAGTCCATGCATTGTGACTGTAGGATGCCAGGTGGCACGATGTGCCGTGTGCTGCAAAGTGCTGACTTTCAGCCAGACTCTTCCACCTCTACTATTCCCTGGCTTCTAGCTGCCAGTTTGTGAGGTGGTTATGTGTATGACCTGGTCCTCATGCTACCATGAGCCTGACTGAAACCCACAGGCTCTGTGGACTGTGTCCTCGGAGCCCACACTAAGCAGAGGTGTGTGGTTCAGACCCGGGGCGGAGGGAACGGTGGGTCATCATCATGACAACGGCAATTGGCACATCTCTACATGCTACCTGGTTAATAAAGTCAATTTCCGCTACCAAGCACAGGCTTCTCAGATTAACAAAGCAAAGTGATGAATGTCTATTGCTTTTGAAATGAGAGGAAGGGAGAAAAATCTCTGGGGAAGAGAGACGAGACCACTGTTTGGTTGTGAGGCGAGTGCAGGGCCGAGCCTGTTCTTGTAGGGCGTGGGTGGGGGCCGGCCGGGCTGCTGGCCCGAGCGTGGGTTCCCACAGGCGGCAGGGCTCAGCGCCTCTCTCTGCCTTCCAGGGACGGCCTGCACAGCGGCTGGTCAGGCGCTCAGGGGGACTCAGCCAGCTCGAGTGACGAGACGTCTTCTGCCAACGGGGACAGCTTGTTCTCCATGTTTTCAGGGCCTGACCTCGTTGCTGCTGTTAAACAAAGAAGGTATGAGGAGATTTCAGACCCGCGCAAAGGGGGTACTTGAGTGTGATCCACGGCTTATTCCTCTAGAAAGCTTAGGAGCCCGTCCCACCCCGTCGGCCTCGTGAGAGAGAAGCCAGGGACCCCTTCAAGCACATCTCGCTGGGGCTGCTGGTGGCCAGCCTGCAACTTGTGACAGGACTGCGTTCACGCCGTCTCATACGTCCAGAAACCCCGGTGTGGGGGTATGGACATGGGAGGGTCCTGGAGACAGGCCCAGGAGGCTAGTCTGTGCCTTGCAGGAGGCAGCCCTTCTGCGGGGCAGACAAGGCCCGACGGCCACCTTCTGATCAGGACTTACCAACAGGCTTTGCGACGAGGCTAGACCAGGGCGTAGGCCTTTGACTTAATTTGCTTTGTCAAAGGCGGAACTGGATGAAGTGAAAAAATGAGTGATATAGTACCCTCAGATTTGGTATTCAGAAGTAATCACAAAAATCAAAATGGGCCTGAAATAAGAGAACTCAGCTGGAGAGAAGAGGAGAAACTGCCGTGACCTGGGGAAGCAGAGCCCAGAGGCAGCAGAACACGGGGGTGGGCAGAGCAGCCGCGCTGCCTGGGCATCAGCACTCAGGCCGCAGAGCAGAAAGGGGGCGCCAGGTGACACAGTCCACATGTGACAGGCAGCCCCACGGGGAAAGCAGTGGGGAGCAGGGCGGTGAGGACAGGAGGTGCCCGAGCCAGGCTGTAGCGCAGTGGCTGGGTAATGGCGCCCACAGGCGCGGTGGGGCCGAGTGCTGGCACCATTTCACCCAGCGCCCACGCCTCAGCTTGGTGGGGGGCCCCACGGTGGAGTCACGCCAGCCCGGTGACCTCAGCCATAGACGTTTTCTCAGTCGGGAGGCCAAACATCCGGGAGCAGGGTGTGGGCGGTGTTGAGTCTTCTGGCTTCTTCTCCCTTCTCCCCGCCTGGTCTCCCCTGTTCTGATTTCTCATCTTACAAGGATGCCGGTGTATTGGCTTGGGCCCACCTGACGGCCTCACTTCATCTCAGTTGCTTCTGTACAGCACCTTATTTCTGGGTAGTCTCACACACTGACGTACTGGGGTTAAGACTTCAGCTTATAAATGTAGGGGGAGAGGACACCTTGTGGTGTAAATGCTGTTTTACTCCCGATTCACAGGTGAGGAAACTGAGGCTCAGAGTGTTCACCTGATTCATTCATTGGTCTGATCCTGTCCCAGCTCTGGGGCTACAGCAGCCAACAGAGCAAAGGCGAGGCGTTCTCCTTGTGTGCAGGAAAGCAGATGAAGGTTCACGCGTGTAGCAGGCCCGGTACTACCAAGAGAACCGGAGTGGGGACAGGTGGATTTTCAGAAGGGAATCAGGGGGCTTCTAGTGAGAAGAAAGCCTGGTGCAGGATGGGCCATGGGCTGAGAGAGAACCGAGGGGAAGTGTGAGGGTTTGGCCTGAGAGTCTGTGTGAATGGGGTGCTGTAAACCAAGGTGGGGGGGCACGCGAGCAGGATTGCGCGAGAGGGGGCATTTAAGTTCCCCGTGTAGTTGCGCCAGCCCCTGGGGCTCCCGTGGCCCTGTCGTCTGCTGGCAGGAACATAGCGGTGCCCTCATCTGGCGCTCAGCCTGCTGTGTCCTGCCTGTGAGTAGTAAAATGAAGTCGCTTATGCCCAGTGAGGTGAGCAGTTAGCATCTGTCAGATCATTACCAAAAGCCAGAGGTGGACTCAGCAGCTGAAACAGTCAGTGTCTGTCCTCATGCCTTCACCCACTCCAGCCCTGTGATGATTGTGGGGTGCACTGTTGAGTGCACGACCCACCAGCGTGCCTCCCCACCTAGGATCAGTGCCCGGGGAGCCAAGCACTGGGGTGCCCACGGCGGGAGGCCAGGCTGTTGTTTCCCTAAGCTCTCGGTTCTTTCAGGAAGCACAGCAGTGGTGAGCAGGAGACCAGCATGCTGCCCTCACCGCCTCTTCTCGCCACGGTGGAGGACATGAACCAGGTATGGGGTTGCGGCCGCCCCGGCAGTGGGGGCTCGCCCCTGGGCTGCAGCCGTAGCCATGTCCAACACTCCCATTTTCAGAGGGCTTCAGAGCAGTGAGGGGGGGCTTGGTTTTTTCCTTTTCCTTACGCTTCTGTCTAAACGGTCAGGCCTCTGCTGACTCACGCCGTGTGGGGAGGCTCAGTGACAGTGCCGCCTAGTCTGACCGCCGTCACTACGATGAATTCAGTAGAAATAAAAATAGTGGCGAGTAGCTACTGCATTGGGCCGTGCAGCCATGGAACATTCCTGTCATCGCAAGCAGTGCTGCCCCAGGCCTGTGGAGAGCAGTAGGGTACCCACCCTGTCTCGGGGGCGGGGTAAGGACCAGAGCTCTGGGGAGGTGGGAAAAATGGTAAGTGGCCAGAAATGGCACTAAGAACCCTCTTCTGTCTCTCAGGATAACAAAACCAAAACGTGGCCACCCAAAGCACCCTGGCAACACCCTTCCCCGCTGCCCAGCACACTGCCCGGCCCAAGCGCACCCCTCTACGCAGTTGCCAGTCCCGGCAGCCAGTGGAACGACACCATGCAGATGCTGCAGTCCCCGGTGTGGGCTGCGACCAGCGACTGCAGCGCCGCCTCCTTCACTTACGTGCAGACCCCGCCGCAGCCTCCACCCCCACCAGCACACAAGGCAGCACCCAAGGGCTTCAAGGCCTTCCCTGGGAAGGCCGAGCGCAGGCCGGCTTACTTGCCCCAGTACTGACCCAGGGCCAGCCTGCCTGCCAGGGCTGCTGGGGCCAGTGTCTCCACTCCAGAGCTGACTAGCTGACACCAGCCCCCCAGAGGACCAGTGCACCCCTGTCCCAGGCAGGGATCCTTGGGGATGGGGGTGGTTGGCAGCTCCAAGCCTTTAAGGCCTGGCTTCTCAAACTTTGGAGGCACCAGACCCCTGGATAACCAGCTGAAGACAGGGCTCTGACCCTCCTCAGGAATGCTGGGGGTCTGTGAATTTAACAAGCACCTCCGGTGATTCTGATGCAGGTGGACCACAGGCCACACTTAGAAACACAGCTCTCAAGTTTGTAGTCCTGCGCGTGTTAGGAAGGCTTCAGGCCTGAAGGCTGAGAGCAAAACTGACCATTCTTCCGAAACCCTCCCCGTCCCTCCTTAACACACTGAGTGATGACCACACCAATCACTGTCTTTTATAACTATTTTTCATACAGGTTTTGTTAAAACATCTCCTGCCTAAAATGCATCAACTGTTTTAAGATAACAGGTACAGTGGCTGGAGGTTTGTTCAACACTATCTTTATTTAAGCTTATACGAATTGGGCCAAGTATACAATATTGGTGATCAGAAGAATCACCTAGGTTTTCTGTGGCTGGACAACCTGTTGCCTCTCCAGCAGCACCCAGGGGTGCGACCTTTACCAGATTCACATGTGCAACATCCTGAAGGTGACGTCAGAGACAAATGCCCGTGGTGCGTGGAGCCGAGCCAGCGGTGGGCTTGTGGAGAGCTCGCGCTGCGCCAGCGCCTCGCTCCTTCCCGTGGCCTCGAAACATGCGCTGCAGTCCCAGGGCTGCCAGTGACCCCTGTGCCTGAAGTTGCAGTGACATTTGTGAGCTGGCTCAAGACAAACCGATTAAGATGTAGGTAGGAATTAAAATCTTCACAAAACAGAAAACCACCTCATTTTCAGTTACACGTGCCATTAAGTTGATAACACCCTGTGGATTTCAGAATATTTCCAGCCAGGATGGATCCAGAAGAATTGAATGGTGCTTAAATTGAGAAATAAATATATCTATATAGACTAGACATACCCCACTGTATATTAATTGAGGTTACAGAAGTTCTTTATATAAAACTTATTTAAATTTTTCATATTTCATCTTTGAAAAAGTCTAATTGAAAAAAATCCATAATATTTTCTGGTATGAAAGTTTGACAGTATTAATATTTTTTTTATATTTTCGTAAACCATTAAACCATTTTAATATATGTTAACTACTAATAAATGGTTTATTCTTTCTAACTCCACAAAAGCTTTTCCAGCAAGATTGTAATAACACATTTATGTTCTCATTTTTCTACGGATATAAGTAAATTTATATTTAAAAATACCAAAAAGAAGATATATATATGTATGTATACACACTAATGATAGCGGACCCTTAGGGTGTCTGAGCCCAGCCATCGGAATTCTTAGTACTGTGTCGCCAGGCTGTCGCCGGGCCTCGGGGTTTGTCTTCATGCTGTGCGGGGATGCCATTGCTGCCTGTACTTCTGATCCTTCACCGGGGGTTCTCAACATTCGCCTCACCATGTTTACAGAGAACTGTTTTGTACATAGACTTTTCCAGGCACGTGCTTTGCACCGACCCTGCGTGGCTCGTCTGTGTTAGCTGTCAGTGTGTGCACTAACCTCTGTTGCTGTTGTTTGTGGCTGTTTTACTTGTAAGATAGTTTTCTATTTCCTTCAGTAACGTGTCCACAGTACCCTGTATTTCCAGTTTTATTATACTCAAGTACTCTTGTTTTCATTGTGCCTCCCCAAAGACCTCGCCCTGGACAGAGGTCAGTCCTTGATGCCCCAGCACAGGTGACACCAACATTGTTACTGTCACTTTCTAGTCTGTTTTTCTCCATTAAGGAACACATTTTGTAATTGCATCTCCCTGGGCTGTGAGACCGTGTGAAGCTGTTTGTGTGGTCTCCTTGTAGGTGCTGTGTTCTCAGCACCGCCTCGCTCTGAACACTGGTGATTCCAGGTGCTGCGCTCGGCAGAGGGGTCTTGCCAAAGCGCATGTGTGTGTGTGTGTGTGTGTGTGTGTGTGGGCGCGCGCGTGCGTGTGTGCGCGGCGCATCCGTCCTTTGCATGACCGAGCTCGGCAACCTTGCTCGGGCATCAGCAGGACATTGTGAGAATAGTTACGCTTCCAAACTGGAACTCTACATTTTGTATCTTACTTTTAAAGCTCCTATAAGTAAAATAACTATTGGCTTTATTAAAAGTATACATTTAATAATACTTTGTATCTCTGTTTAAAATAAGCTACAACGGATACTACCTCAGCCCTGCCTGACTCACTAGTTTGAAAACCACCCGAGTTGGCTTCCAGGCCAGCCCATCGCCGATTCTGAGAAGCTGCAAAGGGAAGGACCACCTTGGGATGTCGGCAGAACAGGGGAGGGGGAGTAGGCGGCAGAACCTCCTAGCATGCCTCTCCTGCCAACTCCTGAAAGCTAGAGCTGGCAGAGGGCTCGGGGTGGAGCCAGGGAGCTGGTAAAGGGGCCCACTTAGGAGGACGTGAGGTCCGCAGGTACCCACCAGCTGTGGGCACTGCAAGCTGCCCAGCCAGTCTCTCCAAGGAGCAGATGCAGGGATAAGCTCTCCCCTCACTCCACAATGGAGCTAGGGACAAGAAAAACTAGCTTTGCTGGATGAAGCCACCTGCTAAGCAGGAGGAAAAGCTGTACAGTGGGAATCGCGAGGGAGGGTGGTCATTTCTGCACTTTCTCATCTGCAACAAGGCAATCCTGCATTAGAACCTTTTCCCCCCCATGAACCTAGGCAAGCTGCATGTGAGCTTTAACCTACCATATAAGCACCTCCAGGCTCCTCCCTGCTGAGATGCCCAGAGCACGAGCATGGACAGCAAGTTCCAGAGCCTCAGCACACCTCAGGACAGGCTCCTGTAGTGAGCAGCCCACCCAGAGCAGCTCAAAGAGCACAGAGCAGCAGTGACTGCTCATCGCCTGGCTACAGGGATGAATGCGGAGCATGTGTTGGACCTGAGCCCCAAGAGCTCTTTGGCTATTGGAAAGTGGAAGAAGGAACACGGACGGATGGGGTCCTTGTGAGGGCCGTGACCCTCCTTGCCCATCTGGGGGCTCTTGGGAGCAGGGGCGTCCAGCTCTGAGAGTACTGCTGAAAGGCCACATACCAACCATGTGGGGGAGGTTGGGAGGGAGTGCCCCCCCCCCCCATGCACGGTCTCAAAGGGACTAGAGTGGCTTATTTTGAGACTGAAGGGCAAATGTGGGTCCAAGTGACGCGAAAGCATTAGTTCAGGAGTGTCATGTTCATTTCAAAACAACTCATGCCACCTAGAGGCAGGGCCCTTGTGTTAGGAGTCAGGGATGCAAAGAAGATGCAGTCTCCACCCTTCCAACTATTTTTAAATTTCCCAGCCCCTTAGCTCTTCTGGAGGAAATCCTAGCAATTCCTCATTCAGTTACTCAGCAAGCCCTATATGTGTGCTTCCAAGCACATTAGAATCCCCCACATCCTTGTATTTACACTGCCATCTGCCTGGTCCTTGCTGGGGCCTCGGGTTCCTGCTCCTTGCACCTCACTTCGCGTGTCTGTTGCTCCGAGCTGTTCCCCAGACATCAGAGAGCAGTCTCTGCCCTATTTTGTTGATAGCACATTAGCATGGAGAAGGTGCAGGTCCTCATGGGCCACAAGACCAGGGCACAGAGAGCGTAAAGCCACTCAAAATAAGCCATATATATATATATATTTTTTTTTTTGGACTGGGCAAGTTCTTATTAAGCAAGTTTTTTGTTTTAAGATTTATTTATGCATCCAACAATTGCCGTGTAGGCCCGAGGGGAGCGGGGCAGGAGAGGTGAGAGGACTCACCAGAGATAGAGTGGGGAGCAGAACAGGCAGATCTACTGAAATACACTACTGAGGGGAGCAGCGGGTGACACAGAGGTCTGCTACGCCCCTGGGTCAGCTCCCTGGCTGGGGATCGAACTCTTGCTGAAACTCTGGGAAGACGGGATATGAGCCGAATACACAGTCACCAGCTTGTATGAGGAACTTGAGAAAGGGCTGACCTCGGGAGCTGTGGGTAGGACTGTAGCCCTTTCATAAGCACAGACTTTTCTATTCTCGTGAAACACGCCTATGTGCGGTGCGGAAACACTTCCTTGAACGAGCACCTGAAGACGCGAAAGGATGCCGCAGGTGCAGACAGACTCCGCCCAAGTGATCCCGGGCTCCGCTCCCGGCCCCGCCCCCCTCGCTCGCGCATGCTCATGTCCGGTCATCCGGGAGTGCGCACACGCACGCGCACGGCCATTCTCGACGTGCGGGCCGAGCCGTTCACCAGTTCCTTTCTGCGCATGCGCCTCCGACTCCGCGCGGGCACGGGAGCGTGCGCGTGCCGCCCTCCTCCGGACGTGCTCACGCGTGCGCACCGCCCCCTCACTGCGCCTCCGATCCCGCCTTCCCTGCGCGTGGACGTCGGCGCACCGCCCTCTCAGCAGAGGGGAGCGCTGCGCTGCGGGCTCCAGGAGCTCGGCGGAGAGTCGGGAGGCGCGGTTCCCTAGCCCCGGCCTGTCACCGTGACTCAGCAACCCCGGTGAGCGCCCCTCCCCTAAACAGCTCATCGTCGGCTGAAGGGATCGCCTGGCACGCGATTCCCTTCCCGCTCCTTCAACTCTGGCCCCGGAATTGCCGCCTGACCTCCGCCCCCCAGTCTCCTCGCCCCGCCCCGCGCCCCCCCACCGTCCCCCGACCCTTCCCCTCGTGATCTCCCGGTCTCCAGATCCTGCCTGGCCCCATTCCAGCGGCCCCGAATTCAGGCCTGGCTTACCTAAATGCCCGTGCCTCAGTTTCCCCATTTGCAGAGCAGGGCTTTTCCTTGGAACAGTGCCCTCCCCAGACGGGCTCGTCAGTTAGTTTCACGGCTTACTGAGGAGCCGATAGGAACCAATTGATTTTTCCAGGCTGCCTGCTTCGGTGGCGGAGGAGAGTCTCGAACTCACGCAGCCAGGTTCTCATTCAGTTCTTGTCAGATCCTGATGTGAGTGCACAAAACCCTAGGGCTTCCCTGCCCCCTCCCAACCCGCCCCCAAAAGCCGGGGTTCTGAGACTTTGGCACAACTTTGTGGAGGATTGTGGTGATGATGACGGCAGAAAAGGGGCTCTCACTATTTTAGGAATAAAATGTGACCTTACATGAATATCCCCAAGTTGCAGATCCCACTCCCCTCCCCAAGGCCCTATCCGGAGGTGCCAGTCTGACAACCCAGAGGCGTTGCCCTTTCCAGCTTTCTCCCTGCTGCCCAGTAGGACCAGTGGGAGCAAAGCGGTTGAATGTTCCCATCTCCTGCCTTTGTGCATGGCCTGCCCGAAATTTCCACTGGGGATGCCATTCTTAGCCATCTCCGCTTGTAAAATTCTCCCTGTATCACAGAGCAGCCGTCTATTGCATGTTAAAGCAGAGCAGGGATGATGAGGAGGACATAATGGGGCTAGCAGCCCCTCCCCCCCACCCCATCCCACTGTTCCTTTGGGGTTTTTTTTTCCCCCTGAGGCTAAAGAGGCAGGTAGCACAGGGCTGTGACTGAGAAAACTGCTCTGAAATCCAGCAACCTTGGGCTGATTGTCTCCTTGGTGGCAGGGTAGCTCCTCCTGGACTTCTTAACCTACCTCTAAGGAGGAGGACAACAGCCTCCCCAGACAGAGCTGCAAGGGTTACATGGGAGAGAATTTACCAGAATGCTCACAAAGGGTCAGCTGGCCAGAGTAGTAACCATGTGATTAAAGTAATAATGAGCTTATCTTGTTCTACTTCTTGTGACTTTCCCTGCTAGCTGCTGTGACTTATGGCCCTCTAGATAGGGACCTAGTTTCTGACAAGAAAATTCATGTAATTCTGACAGTTCAACAGGTGCAATGTTAACGTAAAGTATTAAGGGAATGGCTAGGAAATGTAGAAGAGTTGAAGCTGCTGGGAATCACATGTCAGACTGCTGGAGCTGTACTTTAAGTAATGTTACAAAGAAGGTGAAACTTTCAAAAGGCACTCAGCAGCAGTCTTAGCTCCTGCCTCTTCTGCAGTACCTATAATTGTGCCTGTGGGTCTGGTCTGGATGGAGAAGACGCTAGAGAAATGAGTTTGGCCAGTGGGCAGGTAAACACCCATAAGACTTTGGGGTAGACCTGGAGTTGTAAATAGCTGGGCTCAGAACAGCATCAGCACTAAGGAAAGTCAAGACTCCAGTGTCAGCTGGAGACAGGCCCCAGGAACGTGGGCCCTGGGAGGTTCCCTCTGAATCTCTTTAGGGGGGTCGGCACCTGAGTTCCAAGAAAGGATCCTTTGACTGGCTTGTGTCACATACTCACCTGACACAATTAGGGAGGTAGTGCCTGGAACAGGAGAGTGAGGGCTGGTGGCTTTAGACAAAGACCACAGGCATCTGCCATGATCACCAAAAAGAACCTACTTGAGACAGACTCAGTGCCTTCTTTTGCATTAGGGTCACATGAGGAATCGGAACAAGGGAATGACAGACAGTGGCTACAGGAAGGGACTTCCTGCTGGATTTAGGGGTGGGAGTGCCGTTCTATGCAGACAAGAAACTGGCTTGGGATGGGAGGCTCTGTTCTGAGTGTTTCTCACGAACTCCAGTAAAACTCCACATTGGGGTGGTGCTGGGTGTGGGAAGCTCAGCAAAATCTCAGATTTGATAGTTGATCCAAAACCCCTCTGGGTACATAAGGGCCCTGGGAACAGTGGTGTGCCCTAGCACACTCTGTGTTTTCAGGCCTTTCCATCTTCATTTTTAGGACTGAGGATCATTCTGGGCAGGGAGAGCAAAGACCTTTGCAGAGGCCAGAGACAGCAGTGACTGCAGGGCGTGGGGAGGTGGGCTGGGGGAAGACCCCGGGACCTGGGACTGCCACAGGACAGGACACACTCTCCAGCTGGCCGGCCTCTGGGAGAACTGGGCGCGCAGGGAGAACTGAAAAGGAGAACTGGGCACTGAGCGGCTCAATCTGAGTGCCCAGATCTTGGACCTCTTCCCTTCTGACTTCATTCACCTCCTCTCATCCAGAGTCTCATCAGATGCTCTTCTGCACTCATTGATGACTCCAACTTGAACCTCCTCTCAAATATACAATCAAAACCTCCCCTTAGACATCTAATAGGTTTTGAAAAATAACAGCTCTGAAAAAGGAGGTCATGATCTTCCCTCACTGCATCTCTCCAGGACGTACTGACAATTCCATTTTTCCAGGAACTCGGGTAGAAAACTGGAAGTCAGCCTTGACTGTTCTCTCACACCAGAAAGTTGTCAATTCTTAACTCACAATAGAACCACACCACCAAGCTAGTTCCTACTAGCTTGACCCAAGCCACTTTCAGCCCTGCCTGCAACACCTAGGGAGGGAGCTCCTGCTATCCTTACCTCCCGCCTGCCACCGTGGGGTCTGGGCCATTGTGAGACACCTCAGGTGGTGGTGACTCAGCTCCTCTGCTTAGGACCTTTAAAGTCTTCTCATGGCCGTTGGAATAAAAACCGCTTTAATCTCATCTGTCGCTCTCCTTCATTCACTCCACCCCAGACGCACTTGCTTCCTTCTGCTTCTGCAGCAGCTAATCATTCTGTCTCAGGAATTCTGCACGGCTCTTCCCTCTACCTGAACACCTGAGCACTTTGCCCCGTGGAGCCCACTGGATAGCTTCCTGTCTCCTTCGGGCTTTTGCTCAAAGGTCAATTAGTAAATGTTCCCTTGACCATTCTATTCAAAACTGCAGCCCCTGATCCCAGCACCCTTTCCAGTTGCCCTTTTCCGTGCAACCCCTGACCTGCCGGCGGTTTTACCTCTTTGTCACTTAAGTGGCCGCGGCATCTGGGACGCCACTTGTAACACGGAAGTTCGCATTTATGAACGAATGAATGAATGGGGGGGGGGCGACGCGGGAACTCGG